AACAGTACTGATGAATTTTAGGTACTCTACCAACGGAATTGATTCATTTGACTCAACCATACCTTTTAGGTTTCATTTTTTCTCATTCTCTCATTTCACGTGATGAATTCATTTTAAGTGCTTTTAATTTTAATCAACTGATTTCAGTAATTTGAAGTATTTTTTTCACTCTGACTTAACGCTGCCTCATTTTTATTGAGTGAATGAACAAATCAATCGAAGAAATGAGAATGGCTGAAGTATTATTATGAAATGTTATGGTCACCGAGGAAATATTATCAATACGAAATGCGCAAATTGAATTAATGAGACGGATTTCGTGCTGTACCTCTTCAATATAGTTGATATCATCCGGTAAGGAGAATTTTGGTTGAGCGAATTCGATGAAATCACGAAAGAATGAGTTTTCGATGATGTTCGTAGGGAGTTGAGTGGCTGATAACATCAACGCTAATTTCGTTTCCATTTCCTTTTGTTTTCGCTCTTCTCGACTCCATTTATGAGCGTTGTTCGATAGAATTGTTGTTGGTGATGGCGTTATTACTGCGGTTGGATGTATTACTGATGCACTCTCTGCAAGCAATCCAACTGAAATGGAATGAATCTGCTTTGCAACCACCGTATTCTCGAGATTTTCACTAATACGATTCAGAAAATGTGTTCTTGAAAAAAACATCACGGGAATGTTCCGAACATGAAACAAATAAGTGAGAAATGTTAGAGGAAAGCAGCATCACACTCATAAAAACAAACCATTGTTAAAGATCGAATTTTGAAGTGGAACACTCTGGTAAGTGGTTTGAATATGACTTGGAGGGTTGTTTGAGCTGATGATATTTGCAGATGAATTATCATTATTGGTGTTGTCGTTGTGATTATTATCACTAGTTGAATTGTTATTATTGACATTACTATTGCGGTCACTTTTGGTTGGATTATTTTGACTGATCAATGCTGACATCGGATTATTCACCAAGTGCGCATTACCACTCGCTAATGCGGCCGCGTTTGCACGCGCATTTAGCACATTAAGAATATTGCTGCAATGTTTTCTTCAATAAGCGAATGATTAGCTGTCTTGAGCACAAATAAGTCACCGAAGAGATTCGAAGAAATACTTGCAATATCATGTTGTTTCGATGAAAAGATAGCTTAAGTTAGCAATAAATGATTGATTATCCTTGTTAATGATTATCCTTGTTAATATTATTCAGTTTCTACTGAATCGAAGATTCTCAGAGAAAAAAAAAACACGACGAAAATGCAGTCCAAACCCCATAACTCACCTCATATTAGTATTATTATTATTGGATACTCGATTAGAGAGTGAATCTAAAGGCATTTGTTTACTCAAATTGAGCACAGCGTTGTTGGTTTGTGATGAATCAGTATGGAGTTTATTCGTTTTGAGCGCGAATGATGACCTTGGTCGAACTGAATTCGAGTAAGTACCTGATCCGGAACCAGACGCAGAAGATGCTGGAGATGAGGCCATATGATTACCGTTACGATCACGAGTATACTCAAGCTGAAGTTCACATATAAACAAACTTTGCGAGAGAATGTTTAGTGTTGATGATCATCTATGTAAAAGGGACATGTCCAGTGATAATAAAACCATTTGAGAGTGATAAAAGAAGCGAATTGAAGGTTCACCTTTAATTTTTGAAATTCAGCATATTCAGCTGGATGTTTTTTCAGGTGACACGCTAGTGTGCTTGTGTGTGGACCTTTTAACATGTAAGTGCAATCGCCTACGATACATCTGCAACGGAGTATTTCAAACGAGACATTTCAAGAGAATAAATAAGATATAAATAAAATCCATCAATACTGAAAAATATTACTGTAAAAATAACGGCAATCGCAACAAAAATATTAATACCAGCATTAACAAAGATAATAATAACGATGATAACCTGCTCAAATTTTCGGCTTTATTATAAACGAAATATTTCCAGACAGGCGTCTGTTTATTGGTACCACCACTGCGAATAGCAGCAGCAGGATTTCGATGCCACGACCAATCATCTTCACTGAACAACGCAGCTGTTGGTGATGCAGCTACAGCTAAGGCGCCTGGAATTGATGAAGTGGTACCTCCTGAAATTGACCGCTCACCAATCTCTCAATATTTTCATTTGCTCCTTTCATGCACCTTCCTTTCAGCCAGTTATTCGGCAATATTGTATTCTCGTTGAGGCATCCATCATTCAACTGATTTCATAATTTATATCCCATTTATGGAACTGCACCAAAATACATCTGTTCAGACTTGACGCTCTATGCTCAATTGGAGGCTTGTAATTGATGCGGACTAGAGACTGAAGAAAGCAAGTCAGAGAGAGCATGTATTGAGAGTGCGCTATCTTACTGCATCTATAAGATATTCTACGGTAGATTCTTGGCTGTCTCTGCTCAACCAGTGCAGTGCATTCAATCATTCTCAAAGCGTCCAACAAAAAACTTGAACATTGATGGGGTTGGCGAGGGTCAGACACTTAAAAGTTATGGAAGATAATGCAAAATGCGAGAAGATTAATAAGCGAGCAAGTAGAAGAGAACATTACGTGAGTGAATAGAATTGAACAATTCAATTTGGAAAATTAAACACCAACACTTCAGTGCTCAAAAGTATCGAAAACGTGCGATTAATCTACGCACTCATGGTCTAAACTGCACTCAAGAATAGATTGTTGCTTATTTTGAGGGAGGCGAGGAATTTGCTAGAAGGAAGCACTTAAAAAAACATGTGTCAGACGCAGATGAGAAGAAATCGAAT